ATATAGTAATCTCAAAGGTGTCGGCGAAGTCAAAGGCCAAAAAACGAATACAAAGGAATTATGCCGCAACGAATTAGTCCACGTGGACTAAAGAATTGGCGGTTCGTATTGGATAATTTTTACTAACCGAGTTTTATGATTAGCTGAGGAGTCATAAAATTAAATTTGAAGTATAATAAATATACTTCAAATATACTGGAACTATAATAAATTGTGTTACTGATAAACGCTATGTTCGTCTAAATAATAATTCACTTATCACCAGTCCCGATAGCCAGAACAACTATTTTTACTTTGACTTGCTCTAATAACAGGGTGATCCAGACAACTCAGTTGTTCAGTGTCATAAATTTAATTTTAAAATCATAGAATGTAAACAAAATATCAATACAAATATTGGTGCGTATCATTCTGAAGTTAAGATATGCATTTCTAATTTCTTGAATTGGGATGACATCCACTACCTCTTATAGTTTTTAACATTTTCTAATCATTTATCAATCAGTAAATCCAATTTCATNCTGTTTTTTGGAACTGTATTTTGGAGGCTTTAGAGAACATCATCGCTGGAAAAACTGATCTGATTAAAAGAAACAAGCAAAAATGAATAATATATAAATGCGTTTTTATGCAGCCAACAAATTATTTTTGTAACAATTATTTTATCCATTACTTGCATTATTAATCATATTTCCTCTTGAAAAATTATTATCTCATGAACAATGCATTTGTTTATAACAATTCTTCGAACAATATAAATGAAAAATAAAAATCCAGTGTTGTATTTTTTATTCATAAGGCAAAAAACCAATCGAAATATTCGAAAAACAAGTATTCCATGCCTTCATTTGTTCTCAATTTTTCAACATCTTTGATTATTCATAAATAAATGAAACATTTTTTTCTGATTTTCTGATACTGCAAAAGAGAAGAAATATTCAGGCTCCAATTTCAAAAAATACCAAGGTTTTTATGTTAACCTTCAGTTTGAAAAAAACCTTTAATCAATAAAAGCATAATTAAGACAAAAATTGCAATAACTAACTGACGATAACTAATAAAGGAACCATAAAATATAATTATTTTACTTGCTCGTTTCATACGTACCTTCTGTTTACATTATACATTAGTTTGAAATTTTGTTTGAGATAACAGAAACAATAGTGATAGGAATCTCAAAATAATCACTTTGTAGTTGTTGTAATTCATGATTTCAATAACTTCACAGCTAGTAATATTTTTACAGAAAGGAAACTCTTGAGAACTGAACCAAGTAGTGAAAAAGGAAAGGTATTGAAAGATTTTAAAACCGTCTTCGTAAAGGGTGATGTCTGTGCTTCCCTATACTCAGGCTTGTTCTTCAAGGACAGTTGAAAAGTGCATTCGTGGTTCAACCTAGCACCACTGATGAGACCTGCGGCAGACCGAAACAGCGGTGTCTGGTCTTTATTTACCAATGGTGTCATATTTGGAACTTATTCGTATAATTAGATATTTTTCATTCTAATGGAAACGTTATTTTGAATTTCCATTAAATCGAAAAGAATTAGACGTATTGATGATGCATGTACCAGCGTCCATTAGGTCTCCTATTGTTGACAAATATGGTTGAGAAATGCCAATTGAGCAACCAGCAATAGATAAAATAACAAAGTTTTCTTTAAAAATTGGAAATTTGTTTATGGAATTTCAAGGTTTCGTGGTATTACTATTGGTGAAAGTAGGTATAGTATCCGCCATTTTAATATGAGTACGTTATAAAAACTACACACAATTTTGAAAACCAACAAGCAGTAACTTGAAGAAATTGTGAAACTACTGGTATGTGAATTATTTCGTTTCGATTTTACTTTCAGTCATAACATCGTTGTAAACATTCGATGAATTATGTAAATATTGAAGCTTTCAATTTTTCGATTACCAATCACTTTCTCTGAAGAGTAAGCGGCGATGTAATGTTCTCCTAAATAGATACCACACCTTTAATGGTCAATCATACAAGATGCGCTCGAGAGGTTTTTGTATATCTCGAGTTTGATCAAACTATCTTCAGTCATTATACAAGGTGTTTCCTAACTACGGTACGAAACTTCATAGAGTGATTCGGTAGGCATTTAAAAAATATCAATAAAGTCCTAACACCGATTTGGTTGAAATTTGCTAGTTATTTGAAGTAATAAGCGCTAATTTAGCCCTAACTAGATTGAAATTATTAGGTCCAGTGGAGTCTCGGTGGGCACCACAGCCAACAATATTGTAAAAAAACTACGCCACTGACTTGTCGTAGTTTTTCATTATATAAATTAATCAATTAAAAATACAACTTTTTCGTCGTTTGTGTTTTCTTCATACCTAGCTTCGTTTTCAGGAAAAAAATTGAAGCCACTTTGCATATCGTGCACACCTGCTTTGAAGACCAATTGACAGTGATAATGTTGTCATATCAGTGAAAGTAAGAGTTGTTAGCAGTGATTCGACCATGAATAATATAATGAATGCTAAAATGGCTGACAAGCACTTAATTTATGGATTAGCAAATGGAAATGCGGAAGAAGCACGGATAATTCACCAGGACTGTAACAACACCTGAACTAGAAGACGCTATACTTGATGCAATAGAAGAATATCCTTCATATAGTACCAGGAAGATTGTACTGCAGCTGGAAGTCAGTCCAAAAAATGTATGGGCAGTTATAAAAAAAACCTCCTATACCCGTATCACATACAGCGGGTCCAAGCTCTGCTGCCTCAGGATTTGGGATAATTCTTTACCAAATATTTTATTTTCGGACGATGCTATACTTTCACAATAACCATTTTTGGGCCGACGAAAATCCCAACATTATTGGCGAAAGTCAGTTTCAGCTTCAATTTTTGCTAAACGTTTGGATAGGAGTGATTGGTGACTACCTAATTGACCAATGTTTTCTAACAGCAAGATTCACAGGTGAATCCTACACGGACTTTTCGCGAGATCATTTACCCATTTTGTTAGATGAAGTGCTGGTTCTTGTAAAAAACAACATGTGGTTCATGCACGACGGTGCTCCAGTTCATTTTAATGTTCATGCTCAATAGCATCTCGACATCATCTACCCTAATCGATGGATTGGACGTGCAGGACCACTAAATTGGCCAGCCTACAGTCCTGATATGAATCCTCTAGATTTCTATTTATGGGGTCATCTGAAGGCTCTTGTTTATAAAAATCCAGAATTGCCTGAGGAATCGAACGTGTAAGACAATCAATAACAAATCGATTGCAGTTGGGTATTTTATCAAAAGGTGGACATTTTGCTCATTTACTTCAAAATAGAAATTGTTCATTAGGTATTTACTTTTGGTTTTTATTTTAAGTTTTCCATGGATAGTTTTTTGAAAGTGATTTATTTTCTCGGAAACGAAGCTTGAAAACACAAGCGACAACACACAGTGGCGTTGTTTTTTCTCAATATTGTTGGCTGTGATGCCCACTGAAACGCCACTGGACCTAATAATTTCAATCTAGTTCGGGCTAAATAAGCGTCTTATTACTTCGAACAACTAGCAAATTTCAACTAAAACGGTGTAAGGATATTCATGATATTTCATGCACATACAGGTTTTTAAAATTCGCCCTGAATCTCAGAAACGAAGCAACTTCGGACATATGTTCATAGGAACTTTTTTCTTGAAACGACCCAACGAATCACTTTCTGAAGTTTAGTGCCACAGTTAGAAAACACTTTGTATATGAGAAAGTTTTTTTTATGAACATCGTTTGAATCAGAAGATCTTGATGATGTAGTACATGGTAAATGAATTTTCGAGATTTGAAAACTGAAAATAGTAGTTCTGGATAACATACTTCTGTTTGAGTGAGTTTTATCAAGGGTCATTATTACTAGTTACTGGAAGGTGGCCACCTCCCTCGGGAAGTTGATATGACATTGTGTGGTAATTGGGATAAACGTATAGACTAAATTGTAAGGGGTCGATGGACTTGCTACACCTACTAATGGGTAGCCATACCCATACAAAAAGGCTTCGAGTTGTCAATAATGTTCCACAGAATTCGAGACTGGCCCAATATGTTCCAAAACGTTTCAAACTATTTCAGAATGTTCGGAAACTTTCTGACTAGTCTTGAATGTTCCACGACCTTTATTGGATGTATTATAGAGGGCTACCACACCATATTGTTTCACAATGATCTTGGATGTTCCAAAATGTTTCCGAACGTTCCAGATTATTCTCGAATATTCCACAATGTTACGGGATGTTGTGGAATGCTCTAGAACACTATTGAATGTTTTGGAGTGTTCTAGAAAGATGAACATCCTCATATCTGCAAAAGAACGATATTCAAATGGAAACTGGAACCTTCTTCAAACGATTTTGAAATTGCCATATGAACACATCAACATAAATATATTCTCCAAATTTCCAATGAGAATTGCATGAAAAATGTTTTTGTTTACATACTTGAGCAACATATTTTTCAAGTGAATTTTTTCCCGCTCTGACTTAAACAACATAAAAAACAAAAATAATAAAAAAACTAATAAATACAGTTTAGTGTATGATTTTCACTCTAAAAGGTTTTAAAAACCGCGACACGTGTCGCGGTTTGCGCTTTCTCTAGTGTAAACTTGTAAAACCCTTTATAGTGAAAATCATACAACAAACTGTATTAATTAGTTTCAATATGAATTTTCAGCAAGTATCGGCCAGTTCTATTCAAAAATAATAAAATACAATCGAAATCGAAGCTGTTTTTGAGGACTTCCAAATATTGTCTGCCTGCAAAGGTGAAATAATTGGAAAACTATGTATACGATCCCAAACCATGTTACTATTTTTTTTTTTTTCAGTCTCACGCCCGACTTAAATATAAATTTTCTATTCCCACTGTTCCCGATCGGATCCTTCGGTTCCAGCGCAGCTTTCGCTCTTACGAGATTTCACCATCGCGCCCGTTCAGTTTCGGCTGAAACGACGGCGTTTTCAGCCATCGTCGGAAAGATCGTCGCCGGCGCCGCGTTCTAACCTACATTCGCCGTTCCGCAAAAGGGGTGTGTACCCTTTTCGATTTTCTAGTCCTTGCGTGATGTGAGTGGTTAGTGTCCAATCCTGGGGATTTCCCATTAACGGTCCTTGTATGACTCGGGTGGAAAGCCATCTAGATGACGCTATCCTGTTATGACATGTTCTGCGTCAATTTTGCAAAGGTGATATTTTTCAGCGGTTGGTTTAGGGTGCGAATGGGTGTTGGGGTTGTTTCGATTTGTTTGAATTATGAAAAACCCTTTTTTTTTGGGAAATTACAGTTTATTAGGATTTTTTTAACTATCTATCTCCTTAGTGTACCTGATGACTGAAATACAAATAGGCGAATGGTGATCTCCGAATCTGTAGAATATTAATGTTGTTATGAACGTGAAAATATCAACTCTACTCTTCCCTAATAGTGGAAAGTAGTGAATGCTTATTATATAAATACGAAACACTATTCGTTCCAACCCTCTTTTTATTGTATATCAACGACTTATTGGAAAAAACCAAGAATATAATATATTGCTTTGCTGACGAGAGCACATTTGTCTCGTCATTACGTTTGAATTACAGGACAACGTGCGTATATGGTTCGTTGTTTCTCTCGATTATCAGATCTAGCACTAATAAATTATCCGTCAAGATTTTTTTTATTTTAAGACATAGGTATATAAAACGAAACAAAATATTGGTAAATTAATCCAGAAAAAAATATCAAAATCGAGTAAATAGAATGTTCTAATTCTTGCGGAATTGAATAAGTCTGGCATGTCGGAATGTCGGATCAAATCGTCAAAGGTTTCATCTTACCTGATCTTACCCTGCAGCTTACGGTTAAGGGCATACATCCGCCCAATCAGCAGCGAATAGTGGACTGTAAGGGGTTGATTGCTGTGTGAGTATGAAGGAAAACACGTAAATCGGCACTTGGATTTCTGGATACTCGATAGGACCACTGTCACTGAAAAAACTCAAACTTTTTGTTTGTCCATCGCTGAAAGCAATTTTTTTTAGGCCTCTTGACGATATGCGCGAGGGAATAAACATATACGGGGTGCTGCAAAATCCGAAATTTATTCTGACATATGTTTATGACTATAACTAAATATAGGGGGGATATCCGAGGACTCAACTCTAATATTATAATAATGAGATGTATAAAACGCAACTTTGTTTACTTTAACCTTCTTTCTACGGCTTCCAATAAACTCGCAAAATTGCTTATTCAATTTCAAAATAGCATATCTCAGTTCAAGATACTTCGATGATGACTCATGTATGTTTTGAATTGCTGAAGTTAAGTTTGTTTTCGGTTTTGGTGTGATTATAAACATTGGGGTATTAAATTTTCTTCTTCATATTCACCACACACATCATCATAATCATCGTTTGTATCTAGATGGAACAATGCGTGGACCATATATACCCCAATGAAAGGATTCTTTAAAGATATGGAAATGACATTTTTGTACCAAATTCACCAATTAAAAACAATAGAAAGTCAGAGTAAAAGTTAACAAACCCAAATTTGCGGTTTTTTCGAATCCAAATGTTCGGATTCTTCAGCCGAGTCGGTTTGCTACCTTTATAAAGCAAAAGTTACTTCTCATTTTTTTTTTTCAATAGCATCGGGGGTCAAGTGTCTCATCATTGAAAATATCTCCTTGCCTCTGCTACCTCTGATTTTTTTTTTGAAAATTAGTTCATTCGTTATTGAGGATATCAATGTTGAAATGAGCTAAAGTTTCTCTTTTTAGAGAAACTTAATAATGAACAATATGAACGAAATTAGAATAATGACCTGTAGCAATTGCCTACAACAGTTCTACCGATAGTCCAACGCGCAAAGAAGCGATTTATAAAAAGACGTGAAAAATACAACGTCGGTGCCTCGTCCGTGTCTCGTCTCGCCCGCTCCTCGTCTCGCCCGCCCCTCGTCTCGCCCGCGCCTCGTCTCGCTCGCGTCTCGTCTCGCCCGCGCCTCGTCTCGCTCGACGTCGTTTCTGTATGAATTGCCGTTAAACAATTCTCTGTCGTAATTCTTAGCTCCGATTCACACAGAACGTATATCGGGCGGGACGAGTCCCGGACGCGGCGCGGATCTTTGTCTCTTTCGCGTGTTTCCTCTGTATTTTTTTTACACAGGAAAGGCGCGAAAAAGACAAAGATCCTTGTCTCGTCTCCACCCGACTTCCGTGTGAATCGGCGAGAGAACAGGTGCTGGCCAACTCACTGGACTTCGTTGCCCATCCAACGATTTCACGCAATCATGTGAATATGACATTGCGTTAATAATGGCAGAGGAACCGTTTTCTGTCTGTTCGTCGTAGTGTCTTTTAATTCTTACTACGTACTGAATAAAAATAAACATATTAACTTCACAAGAGAAAATCGAATATGAATATAATTCATATGTGGTGAAATCAGAGCTCATCGTGTGGCAACCAACACTTTCAATGAAAAAGATCCAGGCCAAAATGGGCCACAATCTACTCTGAGTAGATTATGGCGAAATTTAAATCCACTGGATTGGTGGAAACCTTTTAAACATAATGAAGAACAGAAGTCCAATTGAATGTGTGCTCAGATGTACGGGAATAGATATATTTCATGCAGAACTGACGTTGAAAAAGATAGTTTATGTAATATTTTTTACAATAAGTTTTAACCTTATAAACACTAATTTATACATACTCTCAAGAAACAAGATTTTGAGGTTTGTTTGTTATTCTCTTTTTGGTATTAAGGGAAAAAAGAAGAAGATGCATCCTCTCTCTTTCACTTTTCATAGATCGACGAGGCCACTTTCACGTTAAACGCCGTTGTTGGCTCTTGAAATTGTAGATATTAGGGTCGAAAAAATCCAAATATTGTAATATCATGCAGTATTCATCCAAAACAAATATGTGCTGCGGTGTTTTAACTATCAAACTGATGAACCTTATTTTATTTAACTTAATTTGAATTATAAACAAGGGGTAAACGAGGGGTATTGTAGATGACATAATAAGGAAGAAGAAGTTTAGGTTAAGAATGAACGAAATCTCGACTTTCAGAAAGGACAAAAACCAAGATAAATACATCTCAGTTCCATACCACCAATATACGGGGAACCTTGGAAAGATTTTCAAGGAAGTAGGTATGAAGGTGGTTTTTAAAACAAGTCATACACCACAGAGCCTTATGGGAAGTCCAAAAGACAAAGTCGAGAATTCGGAAAAGTCTGGAATTTACGAAATTGAATGTATGGACTGCGATGCAAAATATTATGGACAGACAAAAAGATCTATTAAAGTAAGATATAAGGAACGCATAGCACACTTAAAATATGGAAGACCTGAAAAATCAGCAGTCGCCCATCATATTTTGCAACAAAACCATTCCATAGACTTCAGTTCATTAAGATTAGTTAGACAAGTTAACAACAACAGGCAACTAGATTCCTATGAGAGTATAGAAATAAGTAAACACAATAATATTATGAATAACGATGACGGACCTATTTCAAAGAGCATACTATATAGCTTGTTAAAATAAAACAATGTTGTTGGGTTTACTGATTACTACATAAGGACATATTGCAAAAATGAATTTGGATTGGCAATATTGTGAAATTTATTTTTATATAGCTGAAAATTGTAAAATTAATTTAGGTTGGTATACCTGTATGGGTGGTACGCCTGGATGGTTTACCTGTATGGGATACCTATATAGCCTAAATAGGGCTAGCTCGCATTAGTTTCTAGTTTTAATTTTCCTCTTTGAAGATGATCACTTGGTGATCGAAACACGTGTCGAGGTGTTAAAAATAACGATTTGATGTTGGGAAACTCCAGTAATATTCAATACCTAGGCGAGATCACCGCCCGGCTCCATGGCACAGAAAGTCTACTTACTGGCAACCCTCAAGACTCAGTCGCGTATTCGAAAACTTACATAATAGTCGTAAATATCTAGAATGTGGTTTTCTAATAGTGGAAAGTGAGAATCATTGAAATCGGTTTAGTGGTGTCAGTTTAACGATTGCAGCTAATTCGTCCCAGCTTCGTAGGAGTAGATAGTCATATACCAACAATTCCGTACACCACTATTTTTTAGCGACCTTACCAACAGATCTGCAGCTGGCGTAGTAAGATAAAGTTATTTTATCCAAAGTATTTTTTCAACTATGAGAACCACTCAAGTTTAGTGGCTTATGCAATAAATATGTCGAAACTTCCGAAAGTTATTCTATTTTAATACCACGAAATGAAACATCAAATGTCGTTTCCAGGGAAGTACTAAGCCGCTAACCTTTCCTGGTTTCTTTTGTTAAAATAACCCAAGTTTACTTGGTCAGCTACAGATCCGCAGGTGAGAATTGTCGCTACAAAAATTTTACTATCAAGGACTGTTGTCATGCTCTATTTGTCCATATAAAGTACATTATCTTTCTTTCTATCCGTACGAAGCCGAAGCGGATCAGCTGTTTGATTTTTTATATTTTGTAGTTTACTGGGAAGAAGTCGCGAGCAAAAGCTATCGTGTATAAATAACTTCCAGGTCGTGTTGTTTATATACATTTATGAACAGGGATTGTTGATTTCAAAGTGTTTCAGGAAATTTCAAAAGAAGAGGTTTTATCTTCATAAGTGTATGATTTGAGCGTAATGGATGTTCAATACGAGTATATTTCATCGGAGAGAGTTGAAATTACTTGTACAACGCAATCCAGGAAACACTGGATATATAGATTACGAACCTATCGTTACCTTTTTACAACTAGCGTTACGCTAGTTGCACACACACCAATTTTGGACGGCCGACTTTGTCCGGTCGTCCAAATTTCAATAGTGAACCACATGTGGGAACGAGACCTGGCACACACGCCCACCGGTGATCGTCGCCGGTAAAATACCGGTGAGCAGCCGTCCACTGCCACTGTATCGCCGGCAGTACCGGGAAGTAGTGGCGTACATGACAAGCGGGTGCTTGCACACTCACCGGATTTTTATCGGTCAAACAATCAGTTGCTTTGTTGTCGTAATTAGCACGCACTACCAAAACGAAGTTAATGCGTCGTAACTACAATTTCACCGAGCATTCGACACTGGAATGGTCGGTAAAAAACCGGTGAGTATGCAAGAGTGTATTTAGTCATGTACGCCACTACTTTCCGGTACTGCCAGCGATACAG